AAAGCTGAACAAGTATCAGGAATACTAAGCACAGCATGAGCAAGCTGTCTGCCAGTCAGATATTCTTCAGATATTCACGTAAGATGTGCCCAAACTGTGTTAATGTATAAATGTTAATCTGGGCTGTATCTTCCTTATCCATGGCAGAGGATGCCATAATAGCATTTATCTTTTTTTCTCCTCTGACTTGATAGAATATAAAAAATAAAAACAAAAGAACCATCAATACTTCTGGATGACCAGTGGTCCATTTTACCAGCTACAGTTGGGATACCTACAGCACACTTTCCTAAGCATAAAAGATTTAGCTGTGGTTAATCACACCTTAGTGACATCCAAGACTAACAGCTGGTTTTATGTGAGGCTGCCCAATCAGAATTTGTAACCTGGCAAATTGCCTAGAACTTCTCTCTTATTTTACATTATTTTTGCATTTTATTTTACATTATTTCCCAATCCCAAGTTCTGTTTTTTAAAAATAGCTTCAAAATTCAGCAAATGCTGAATGAGAACTCTGTTCTCACTGGAAATCGCCTATTGTTATAACTACCTGAATTTGCACTTGTTGAATAATTTTTGTGTGGACGTTAGAAAGCTAAATAAGCTGAATATTGTGGATCCATACCCCACTCCCCATTTAATTGAAAATCTGGCCAGTGTAAAATACATCAGCACTCTTGTTTTAGCATATGGCTACTGGCAAGTGCGTTTGAGTTCAGAAGCATCTGATAAAACAACATTTGTGCCACCTATGGGGCATTATCAATTTGTAAAGGTGCCATTTGGATTGAATGGGGCATCTAAGACCTTTCAAAGACTAATGGATCTAGATGATATTGCCGTCTACAGTTCCACTTGAGTTGAACACCTTGAGCATGCGCGTGAAGTGCTTCAGAAAATTCATAATGCAGGATTGATCATCAAGGCCTCAGTGCCAATTGGGATGTAGCTACATTGTTTATCCAGGTCACCTGATTGGATCGAATGCCATCAGGCCTCATGAAGCTAAGATAGCCAGTGTCATGGATTGTTCCAGGCCTGTTACCAAGAAAGATGTGCAAGCTTTCCTAGGCCTTACAGGTTTTTATCACAGTTTTGTTGGCCATTTTAGCTAACTGGCATCGCCTTTATCAGATTTATGCAAAAATAAGGTACCCAAAAGTGTCATGTGGACACCTGAGTGTCAGCATGCCTTTAAGACTTTGGAACAGAAAGTGTCTCAAACACCTATCTTGGTTCCACCAGATTATGACAACCCTTTTGTTGTCCAAACTGATGCTTTTTCCAGGGGCCTCAGCACCATTTTGTTGCAGAGTGGGGTGGATGGTGGATTGTTAATTTGAGCAGGAAATTGCTACCATGAGAGCAGTCTTATGCTACGGTATAGAAAGAATGTGTGTGAATTGGAAGCTGAACAAGCTGAAACCTTATTTGTGTAATGTCAAGAACAAAGTTCGAGTCCAGTGGCACCTTTAAAACCAACAAAGTTTTATTCTGGGTATAAGCTTTCGCGTGCACACACATTTCTTCAGATACATTGAAAGAGAATCACTAACTATTAGATACAAGTAGTGGGTGAGGAGAATGTTGACAGGAAGGGCCAATTAGAGCTTGGATTAAGGCAATTGGTAAAACCCGTGAATAGCAGCAGATTAGCATACAGAATAATAAAAGTTTACAAACAGATGTGAGAACTGAATGACATTTAGCATGTGTAGTGAGATAAGAAACCAATATCTCTGTTAAGCCCTGGGGTTTCATTGTTCTGAGTGCTGTAATAACTTGTAACTCAGCAAACTCCTGTTCTAGACTGTTTCTGAAATTCTTTTGCAATAAAACAGCTACTTTGCAGTCCCCCACTGAGCATCCTGGGAGGTTGAAGTGTTCTCCTACAGGTTTCTCAATTTTGTGATACTTGATATCAGATTTGTGTCCATCCTACAGGTTTCTCAATTTTGTGATACTTGATATCAGATTTGTGTCCATCTATCCTTTGTCATAGGATTTGGTCTGTTTGCCCTATGTAGAGAACTGAAGGACACTGTTGGCATTTAATGTCATATACAATGTTAGAAGATGAGTAAGTGAATTGAGTCTGAGATGGGGTAGTTAACATTGTTAGGTCCAGTGATTATATTGTCTGGTTGTATGTGGCAGCAAAGTTGACATCTGGGTTTATTGAAAGCTCTAGTACCAGTGTGCATGTTCAGATTAGATGTTGTATTATTGTGGGTGAGGAGTTAAGATTGAGGGGCTGTCTGTGGTCAAGAAAAGGTTTGCCCCCCAGTGTCCAGAGGAGAGCAACGAAGATGGTGAGGGGTCTGGAGACCAAGTCCCATGAGGAAAGGTTGGAGCTGGATATGTTTAGCCTGGAGAGGAGACGACTGACAGGTGATATGATAACCATCTTCAAGTACTTGAAGGGCTGTCATATAGAGGATGGTATGGAGTTGTTTTCTGTTGCCCCAGAAGGTCAGACCACAACCAACAGGTTGAAATTAAATCAGAAGAGTTTTCGGCTTAACATTAGGAAGAACATCCTGACAGTTAGAGTGGTTCCTCAGTGGAACAGGCTTCCTCAGGAGGTGGTGGGCTCTCCATCTTTGGAGGTTTTCAAACAGAGGCTAGATCAGGGGTGGCGAAACTGTGGCTCGGGAGCCACATGCAGCTCTTTCACACATATTGTGCGGCTCCCGGCAGCGTGGCTGGGGAAGCAAAGGGAAGGCAGGCCTCCCCAATCAGTCTTCCCTTCCCCAGCCAGTGTTCCCCTCCCTGGGTAGGCTTGAGGTGGGGGGGGGAGCAGAGAAAGAAAGCAACTTTAACTTTAAATATGTTCTCAAATGCATTCTTTCTTAGACAAATATCTTTAGCAAACAAACATCATTGGATAAACAAATATTATCATCAATATCTTTTTTTACCGAGGAGTTGGCCGTGTAGTCCGTTGCTGCAAAATAGTAAAAAGCCCAGTAGCCCCTTTAAGCAATGCAGATTCTGTGAATTTAGGCAGATCACAAAAGAGAGGGCAGGAAGGGTTGCCTCAGTGCTTAGTTCTTGTGGCCCTTTTTTACACACCCGGAGAAATGCTGATTGCCACTTTGGGGTCAGGAAGCCATTTTTCTCCAGGCTGGTTTGGCCAGGGATCCTGGAGGTTTTTTGTCATCATCTGGGTATGGAACAGTGGTCACTGCAGGTGTGGAGGGGGAGATATTTGTGAATTTCCTGCCTTGTGCAGGAGGTTGGACTAGATGACCCTGGAGGTCCCTTCCAATGCTATCAGTGTATGCTTCTACTTGTGAAAAAGAACTCTCATTATCCAGTAGCGGTTGTAAGTTGCTGATGATGCACTGAACTGTTTTGAGTTGAGAGCTGTATGTGACCACTAGTGGTGTTCTGTTATTGTCCTTTTGGGGCCTGTCTTGCAACAGGTTTTCTCTGGGTACCATTCTGGCTTTGTTAATCTGTTTCTTGACTTCATCAGGTGGATATTTTAGTTCTAGAAAGGTTTGTTGTAGATCCCTCAGGTGAAAACCTCTCTGTAGGAAAGAGTTCTTCTTGGAAACTGATCATAACCCTTTGTCTTTCATTCACAGAGTGAAGGGAAGTAATGCTCGAGTGTTGAGATGGGCCTTAAGCCTGCAAGATTTCAGCTTTGAGATTGTTCACATTAAAGGTAGCCAGAATGTGGTGGCAGACAGTCTGTCCCGTATGGGAAGTGAGTAAATTGCAAAAGGAGGTTATTTCAGTAGTTCCTGTTTTAAAATGCATGATTTCTGTTTGTTTACTGTATTCATGCTGCTAAAGTACCATTAATCTACCTCACTTCATAGGAATGTAAATATAGTTGCTTTGCCTAGTTATAATGAGTTTCAACCATGGTAACACCATGGGTTTCAGCTTCCAGAAAGGGGGGTGTTTGAGGCAGTTCCCCTCAAGGGTTAACATAATTATTAGAAGGTCTACTCCGGCTCACACATGTCCATGATTTAGGCCTTCCTGCCAATACTATCCTTCTCTCTTTGAAGACTGGACTCAAGAATGTAGTAATTGGTTAGTCATGAGAACCTGTGCTCAGTTGTGTATCCAGATAGGAGGAGGGAATTAGGAGCAGACGTTAACATCTTCTGGAAAGTTCCATCAAGGGAGATTCCTGATTGGATCCGAGAGACCACTTGGTGCCAGAAGGCAAAAGGCTGTAATAAGGGTATAGGCCAGAGGGAAGCCATGCTAAACCTATGCTCATGCCGTGCTAGTACACTTTGATATGCTATGCTTCATCATGATGGACTCCAATGTATAGAATGCTTTTATGTTACTGATTGGATTTTTTAGTGCTGCAAGAAGATACGCCATCTACTACCAGGTACTCAATATATTAGAACAGTTAGCTTCTTTACTTTCTCTGTTGCTAAGCTATAGAGACTGTAATGAGTAGTGAAATCTTTTTTACTCTTTAAATAACCGTTATTTATTTTTAAAAGGTCTGCTTTATTAGTGTGCATTTAACCTTGAGGACCCACAGGGCTGGGTATTGCTCAAGGGACAAAGAGCAGTAACCCAGGTGGACCCAGACTCGGGTCTTTTGTCAGAAGCCATTTTGAATAACACCATGACTTGGGAATACCCTCACGGAAGGTCCACTTTTTACCCTCTTTGTTGGTGTTGTGCCAACAGTTTAAAGTATTCTGTTCAGAGACGCTTTTGCAGTTTGAATCTCCATTCTTGTATATTACATTTCTGTCACTGAACTTGATATGGTGCGTGGTTTGCATGTTGCTGGTCTATCTTCTTGTTTTTCTGGTGTTTTCAGTATTCTGGCGTGTACTTTTTAATTCTGTTGGTAAGCTGCCTGTGGATTTTTGAAGAGTACAGTTTTTTTAATAAAGAGCAAGAGTCTAGTAGCACCTTAAAGACTAACAAAAGTTGTGATAGGGTATGAGCTTTCTTGAGTCACTGCTCATTTCTTCAGATACCTGTATCTGAAAAAGGGAGCAGTGACTCACAAAAGCTCATACCCTGCCACAAGTTTTGATAGTCTTTAAGGTGCGACTGGACTCTTTGTTCTTTTCTGCTGCTACAGACTAACGTGGCGACCCATCTTAATGTTGATCAGTTGATCAATGTAATCTGCCCTACCAATATAGTTAAATGTTCACATGCAACATGGGACCATGTTATGGGAAGTAGCTCCCATGCTGCTAGGCAATCGTGCCAGTGGGGTCTCTGTTTGCCATTTTACGGGTTTCCTCTTAGATTTATTGTATCTGCTCCAGGGAGAAGAGATCCTTTCACAAGCATCCCAAGAAAGCAAGGAAGAGGAAGAAGCTTCTATACTCCCCAGGGAGGATCCTGCAGAGGTATTTCTGCTGTGGGAGGTTTTTTTTTGGGGGGGGGGTTGTTTTTTGTTTTTTAAAAAACATCTGTGATTACACTTGAGTTCTGTCCAGGATCATCAGTCTGTTTTCTCAGCATCAAATGCAAAGCTGTGATATATCTTCCTTGTGGTTATGGGCTACAATTTATGGGAGCTTGTCTCATCCTTCTCACCTCCACACATGTTCTTCTTGCCCCTTCTCTTTCTTCCTCTGACTTGCTCTGGGAAAATTTGCTGCCAGGATGAGTAATTCTGCTGAGCTTTCAAAATCTGTCCTAAGAACAGGGGGCTTCAGTTGTGCCTCTCCTAAGAAGCAGATTCTCTGTAGTACTGAAACTGCTTCTTAAAATGCCAGTTCAGCAGCTTCCTCTTCAATCAAGTTCTACCATAGCAAGAACAATTTTGTTTGATTGTCTGACTCCCTCACCTGAGGATTCTCTTCACAGGATTCCTTGGAAGATTTCTTGTGCCAGTCCACACAGTAATCTCTTTGGAAAATGGATGGTGCAGAATAGTTAATGAAATGCAACTAAATACATCAGCAGTACAATCCAACTTTGTTTTGCTAATATTGCGGAGGTGCTGATGAAGAATTTGTATGTAACTTTCCCCCTGTCTTTACTTCTTTATCGTTTGTGGGTTTTTTCCAGGAGGAGGGCGAGGAGGAAGATTCAGAGAATGATAGTAAGACAGATACCAGAGACAGTGATGAAGACAGCTCTGATTAGGCTTGACCATATCGGGTTAACTCTTCATGATACAGTCTATTACAACATAACCTGAAGGCTCTGGAGCTGTTGTGATCCTGATTAAGTTGTATAACTGACTGCCAGGCATGCTAAAACAAACTGGATTATGAACTGGACTATATAAGGCCTGATTTCATTCTTGTTTAACATTCAGTTCTTTATCTCTAGAAAAGCTTGTTCTTTAAAATAAAAACACATAGCACTTTTTGTGCTGCTTTCCACCTCAAAAGCAGGTCGCTTTATGTTTCCATTATATCAATGGCACTGCTTTTATTTACTTTTTAACCACAATCCAAAGCTGAGTTGTGTTCTTAAGTTCATGCACTAAGTGTACTTTGGACTGTGGTCTTTGTACTTCTGCACTTTTCGGAGAAAATGTCCTGCTTTCTTTTAAAAAAATCTTTTATAGAAATGTTTATTTGGGAACATGCTTATGTCAAGTTTTTAGTGCTGGTTCATGTAAATGTTATATTGTAGAAATTTTTTTTGCTGTGCTATATGCAAGAACTTGTATAAAGATACTTTGACTTTCATTCATATACCTACAGAATAAAGTATAAAATTCTACCATTACGGTGCACAGTGTCAAGTCTATATAGTACTGTAGGAGCATTAATAGCTTATCTTTGTTTTAGTTAACAGTCAGCTTTTTTCCTCTCCCCCACCAAAGCCATTTCAAGGCTGAGGCATGTACCCTATAAGTACCCAAAGCTTGCATTAGAACATCAGTTAAATTGCATTTTCATGTCTGCATACACTGAACAGATATATATTTAGTTGTCACTAATTATCTGGTTCTAATAATTTTTTTAATAAATTGAAGGTTTGTGCATATGTCCACAAGCCATTGTGTAGTGATACTACTGCAATAAATGTTGCAAGGGAGAAAGGGCGATATTAAATGAAAATGTAAGAGTTCAGGGGATGGTAACCATGCATCAGTCATGTATGATTTCTGCAGAGGTCATGATGGAATTTGTAAGTGTGGGGGGGTGTTGCTAGTTTAAATACAGCATCCCCTGAAATTGGTATTTTTAACCTATGTTTGACTGGTGCAGCATTACTCCTTGGGGGTTGTCTCTTGACAGGGAAATTACAAATTTTAGCTGGATTCAAAGAAAGGGTCCAAATCACTACTAACAGCTGAAGTAGAAACTCTTTTCTTTATTGATTGACCATGATCAAGGAAAGCATCTATTCTTAAGAAAGTTCAAGATGCTGACCCTGTTACATTGTTCATTTCAGTACTTATAGCCAATTTAACATCACAAGGCATCAGTAACATATAACCAATCAATGTATGCCTACTCAGTACAGTACTAACTCTAAACCAACAGAAAAGCAATCTATACTTCCTACTTAACATACTTTTAAGAATACTGCTACCTTATCTATAGTACACTACAAGTACAAGACAAACTGCTGACTACTGTAGTTTTAAAAAACAAGATCTGTGTTAAAGATTAGTTTAGGTTAGTTTGCCCTATAATCCGAAGAATGCAGACTTTTGGAGACTTCAGCTGAAAACAGAGGGTGTCCTTGACGGTAGCCTCAGACCAGGGTGCCTGCCAAATCTGCAGGACCATCCTCCCAGGATCCTCCTCGGCCACTTTGATACAGGTAGAACATTCTACTATGCACCCCCACACACACCTTGGGTTTACAGTAGGCTTATAACACATTCAGCTGCTATGTACCACACCCCCACCCTTCATTTGTCTCTTCCCCAATGTTCTCATCTGTCCATCCCCCACCCCACCCCCAGTCCTTTCTTGTCTTCTGTCCAGTTTGTTTCCCTTAGCTACACCAGTCCTGTTTTTTCTTCTCAGACCTCCCTAGTCCTTGCTTTGTGTGCGTCCTGCTGGGCCTCCTCGTTAGGCCTCTGGTGAGCTCTCCATGGCTGCATTCTCTGCATTGCTCCTGCCCAATGCTCCCTCTACCAGCTCTTCAGCCGCATCTCTTCAGCAGCCTCCCCCTTGGTTCCCTCACAGCCAGCCTTTAAACTCCTCAGCTAGCCAGCTGGCCTCCACATTCCCCATAGCCATGCATGTCACTTCCCGCCCCATCCTCCTCCTCCCTAATCATGCTGTATGCTACCTCTGGCTGCTGCCCTGACTTCGCAGGGTGTACTCATGTGTCACACACAGATAACACTCCTGGCCCATCACTGGGTCAGATATTCCCCTCAGTTCTTTACTTGGCTTTCACAGACATGGCTACACTTTGGCCCATTCACATTTCACCTTTCCCCCCCTTCACTCTCAAAATAGGTAGGAGGGAAGCGGTGCTGTTACCAAAATAGGTAGGAGGGAAGCGGTGCTGTTATAAACTAGAGAACCAATTCCACAATATTAGAATGGCATCCCATTGTACGCCAGTAGATCTGTTTCAGAAATGGGAGAACCACAACACATGCTACTAGAAAGCTAAAAGCCAATTCATCTGAATATATCCTTAGCCCTTCTCTTAAATACTTAATGCCTGTCCACTTAAAGTACTTGAAACATATACCCCTGTTGTTGTCTTAAAGAAACTGCTACCAAAAGAAGGCAGGAACCATCTTCATGTGTCAGCCCTTGTGGTAATTCAGCTAAGCAATTTCCAGTAGCAGAGGGAGGAACTTGTTCCTATTTTTCTGTTTTGTGTTAATGTAATTTGTGCAGTTTTGCTTTTGTTAGCTTTTTCAAGCATACATATGTAAAGATGATAAATAAATTGACTTGGAATAACTCATGAACATGAATAGAAAGCATGGATATGAGACAACACAATAGTCTGAGTCCTGTCAATGTCTACCTTTTGCATTTTTATTCTGCCCTTCCTCCAGGGGGCAAAGGATAGTGCATATCATCCTTCCCTCTTCCATTCTGCATTCTTAACAACTCTATGAGGCAGAAGCTAGAGAGATAGAGAGAGTGCGCAACTGGCCAGTGAGTTTTATGGATATATTAGTTATGAGAATTATATCACCTTTCTCTCAAGACATTCAAAGCTGTCTATAAGTCAAATATGAGACTATAACACAATAAAGAAATGGCCTCAGTTCCCTGGCATGTGGTTTTCCTCTTAACCAATCCCCTTTCCATTGTACAATCTGTTCAGTTATTTATATAGAAAGATATGTGCTCCTGCCATACTGACATTCAAATAACTAGTGTTCAAAAATGTCCAGGTTACAGAACCGCTGACATTACCATGTGGAGCTTGTTACATCCCAGAGATACGGAGACTTTAGGGAAATATGTTAAGATGTGGAAGCTAACCTTACAAGAAGGTCTCTACCTCTAGTAATCATATAAACAACAGCTACTGTCAAGCAACTATGCCTTGGACATCAGATCAACCTCTTTTTCCTTTCTCTGAAATTTGAGGGATTTTTCCTCATTCGTTCCAAGAAAGCCTACATGACCATCACACAGTTTTCTATGTAAAGGTGCTGGCATTTGGGCTTGTTTGGTGTGGTAAACAAGTCTACAATATTCAGAACACCATTTGAGTGACTGGAACAAAATCATGGTAATATGGGGAGGGTGCCATTATAGTGAAATTAGCTAACTGTAATTGGGATGAATCAAAGAGTTGGGAGACAGGTCAGAATCTTCTGGAATGCCCCAATGTCCTACCCTAATAAAAAGGCATTTCCCTTTTTTCTTTTAATTCTATGGGAAAATCAAAAATACTGAAAATTAGACAATTAATAATTATCATGATCACCGCAGCAAAAAATGTAATAGCCACAAAATCGAAGAGAACCCCCCTCAGTGCATTTATGGTATCTTAAATTATGGGACTATTGTATTTTAGACAAAATAACAGATAATATACAAAGAACAGACCTCCAAACCCAACATTTCGATCTATTAGAAAAATGGCTTCCTTTTATCGAAAAAAATTTCAGGGTCAAGACTACTTAGATACTATACCAAAAGACAATTATGCTTTTCTTGTTGCGTTTCATTGAAAAATATTTCACAGCATCAATAGCTAATTTGAAACTCTCATCTTTTTCTCTCACAAAATTATTTTAATAACAATACCTCCCATCTCAATGTAATGCCTTAACTTACAAGTTATGTTACCTGTTGTTTATAATTAACAATAAATATTGTTAAATAAATAAAAGTACATTTTCCTGATTAGATACTATCTTGCAATGACAATATCAAGGGGGAAATGCACCTCAGAAATCTTTAAAGTGGGTCACACCCCAAGAGTGAGGCTCTCTCAGGCCTCTTCAGCCTGAATACTGCTGAACACGTGAAGACCTGCTAATTCACTTTGTATTGTAAATTAGGATTATTGAACATTGTGCTTAGTGTTATATGGGGTTATCATTGAATTAGAGATACTATTTTATTCTATTTCTGGTGAAATACAGTGTTTCGTGAGCGTATGGTTGCTTTGATGCCAAAGAAGAGCATCAACATGGGGTAGTGTCTAACTCCTTCTCAAAGTTTTATGTGCTCTCTTACACTGCTGTAAAGATAAAAGACCCCCAGAGGATTTATGCAAGTTTGCAGGATGAAAGCCCTGAGATTATAACGATAAACTCTGAAATTATACAACACGCTTAAATGGCTGAATAAGCATTCACTTGTTTATAAATCCACCAAGGTGTACAAGAGGCAGCATCAACATCGTTTAAAGTCTTATCCTTTCAGACTTAGTTAAAAGAGAATCTAAAAGCCATCTGCTAAACACTGCTTTTCAGTCTCCCACTCCCACAAAAGCGATGAAAGGAAGAACCCGTATAAAACTGCCATTGTTTGGGAAACGAAAAGATGATTTTAAAAAATAAAATAAATGGTGATCGTAACAGCTCCGAGGCAAGCAGCGTTCCCTCGCATGTACAAATCCTCCCGTCGAATGGAATTGCAACTGCCCTGGGGTTTCGAACCTTTGTGCTCGTTCTTGAACCTCCCTGCCCGCACTTTGCAGAGAAGACAAATGTGAGTACTGCGCAGGCGCTCCACTGGAGGGGAAGGACCGAGCGCCTGCGCACTGCTGATCTCGGCCTACTCCAAGAGAAGAATCTGCCCAGCCTAGTTAGGTTAGTTTTGTGCGCAGGCGCGGTAGTTAATTGAGGGTCGTGCTGCTGGCGGTCATGTCGGTGCAGGAGGATCCGGTGCAGCGAGAGATTCACCAGGACTGGGCGAACCGAGAGTACATCGAGGTGATCACCAGCTCCATCAAGAAGATCGCAGACTTCCTCAATTCCTTCGGTAGGGGCCACCGCCCGTCTTGACTTCCCTTCTGCCCGTGAAGGGTTTTTGTATGGTCGCCTGGCTGCAAGGATGGAGGGGAGGGGTCGGGTATGGATGATTTCCGGTAGTTCATCTCCTTTTCTCGTCTTCTGCCCTTGCAGATATGTCCTGCCGCTCCCGTCTGGCCACACTTAATGAAAAGCTGACAGCTCTGGAGAGGCGGATTGAATATATCGAGGCCCGGGTAAGCCCGTTTTCCCCCAGCCCCTTTCTCTAGCCATTGAAGAAGCTGTTGGGGGAATCCCAGAAGACAGTCGTGCGGACCTCACAGCTCTTCCGCCTCCTATTTGGCAGCCCTGCCCCCCTTTAGGCCGGGCTTCTGTGTGTGCCCCTCCCCCCCCCCCCCCCGCAATACCACCATTCTTCGTCGTGCAAATCCCACAGGGTGTAGTCCAGGTAGGGTCAGTTGGGCAATGGTAAATCTTCTACTGAAATGGATGAATGCAAGCTGCATTTTGGGTGCTGCATGTATGGATGCTTTTCTCCCCCCCCCCCCAATCTAAAACATGAAGTGTATATCAATAAGGGGAAGGTGTAACATAAGAAGAACTCTGCCAACCTGTCTTATACAGTGACCAACAAGTTACTCAGGAGAGCCAACAGGACATAGAGGCTGAGGCCTTCCCCTGATGTTACCTCCAGGCACGAGTATCCAGGGATTTGCTGCCTCTGAATGTGGAGGTTCCTGTTAGTCACCATAGCTAGTAGCCACTGATACAGACCTATACTCCATGAATCTGTTTAATCCCCTTTTAAAGCTGTCTGTGCCTGTGGCCATCACTACATCCTGTGGTAGCAAATTCCACATTTTAATCACTTGTTGAGTAAAGAAGTACTTATTTTTGTCTGTCCTGAATCTACTGTCCGTCACCTTTATTAGAAGCCCCTATGTTCTATTATTTTGGGAGAGGGAGAAAAAAGTTTTCTCTGTTCACTCTCTTGACCCCATGTATTTTATGAGCCACTATATGACCCCAAGGTCTTTGTCCCTCTCCATATCAGCAAATTCAGACCCCGTTCGCACGTACTAAAAGTTGGGATTTTTTGTTCCAGTGTGCATCACCTTACACCCACTCACCCAATTTGTGGACATCCTTCTGGAGCTCTTCACAGTTATCTTTGGTTTTCACCATCCTGAATAATTTTGTGCTATCTGCCAGCTTGGTCACTACACTGCTCATCTTTTTAAACTGACTTTGTAATGGCATGGTGGAGGTTGGGATGGTGTTTCTTGAGTCCAGCTCTGACCCAACCCTACCACATTACATTTACATAAGATTTTTGTGCATGGCTGTTACATTGTGTATGGTGAAAGCAGCTACTGTTGACTCAGCAGCAAATGCATACACATTCTCTTGGCTGGCAGAGGAATGGAGCTGTAGAGAAGTCGATGTTCCTCTCTCAAAACATGCACAGAACATCACAAAAAGGGGGGGAACAGAATCTCCACTTCCCTGGTTGTCATCTGTGGTAGGAGTTTCTTCTTTAAACTGAATTGTTAGGGAAAGCACATGCACATTGCTGAAATTTAAACTACTTGTATGAAGATAGTCTACCTCACTTTCCCAGTAGGTTCGCAGTGAATCTCTGGGGCCCCTCTAACCTTCACCTTTTCAATGTTTCTTAAGGCAGAGCATTTTCTGTTTTTATTTAGAAAATGTATGTGCAGCCTCTGCAGAGACCCTGCTGGAGGCAGCTTATGAAAAAAATTATATAATAGTAAAACAGAATAAGAAATTAACAAACTATTTTAAAACTGACTGGGTGCTCTAGGGCAGAACCAGAAGCAAAGATAAAGTCCTTTTGTAAATATCTGTACTCTCTTTCCCCAGGAGACCTGTTTGCTAATCTGGTCATTTGAACTACACAGCACTTGCTAGGTCATGGATGGCACACATACAACTGGTGCTGCGCCAGCTTCACTGGCTTCCAGTGGAGTATTGAGTCAGGTTCAAGGTTTTGGTATTGACCTTCAGGGTTTTAAGCGGTCAGGGACCAACGTATCTACGGGACCCACTCCTCCGTTATGGTCAGGGACCAACGTATCTACGGGACCCACTCCTTCGTTATGTCCCCAGGAGAGTGTTACACTCCTTGGACAGCAATTTGCTGGTTGTGTCCGGCCCCAAAGACATCCGGCTGTCCTCAACCAGGGCCAGGGCCTTTTCAGTCCTGACCCCAACCTGGTGAAGCTCTCTTAACTTATGCAGTCCCGCAGGGCTTGTAAGGCAAAGGTGTTCTGCCAGGCTTTTGATTGAGGACAGCAGTGGTTACCATCTTGGCTGGCACCCTCTCCTGCTCTCTGTATTTGCCTTGCCCCTCTTCCCCCCTGCCTGCAAAATGGTCGGCAGTCTGTATTTGGAAATAATTGGAACTCACTATCTGAGTCTTTTAGATTTGTGGTATTAATGTTATTCACATGTTTTATTCTATGTTTGATGTTTTTATTGTTGCTGTACATCAGCCAGAGCCCTGCAGCAGCAGGGATTGGGTGATCCATAAGTCCAATAAATAATAATAATAGGTTCTGCAGCACAATCTTGTGACTTGCGTGTTTCTTCTCCCTGTAACCCTTCCAGAGCTCTTTCCTCCGTTGTTCCTAGACATAGCACCAAAGCTCTGGAACTCTCTCCCAGAGTGATTAGTCTGTCCCCTTATGTTGCTCTCTTCCACCAGTGGGTGAAGACTTTGTTATTATATTTGTCATTCCCTTAATGATCCCTTCTTCCTATCCAATGTTTTTATGTTTTGTATGTATTTTAACTCTATTTTAAAGAAATTGTTCTAATGATGTATGTTTGAGAGAGGAATTGATTTTAATGGTTTTATAATTGTCCTGCCGACGGGACTCAGGCGAACCCTGAGCCGCCAAAGACCACCCCGCCGGCCCCACACCACCGCACCAACGGGCCCCCTGTGGCTCCTGCACCACCACCGGCCGGCCCCCTGACAGCAGGCTGCCTGCCGACACCAGGGCCCACACTCACCAGGAGGCCACAGGAAGCCGGGAGAACACCAGCACAGACAGCCGACCCTGGTGCAAGCACTCCCCCCCTGCCCTGCCAGCTCCGATCCCGAGCCAACGCTGGCAGGGCCAAAGAGCCACCTCCGGGGCTAGAGATGGCCGCAGGCCCCGCACGAGGGCACACCCACGCCACGCCATCAGGCCCCGTGGCCCAGGGGCCGGGGCAATTTGAGAACCCCCCCCCCCCCCCCCCGGAAGTGGCAACCAGGAACAGGGCATCGCCCGAGTCTCAGCGTCTGGGCTTAAGGGAGGGAGCAGGGCAGAGCAGGGAGAAGGAGAGGCGGGCCTGGGGGGGAAGGCAGTGGGAGCGGGGAGGGGATAAAAGGGAGGCAGCCAGAAGGGGCCAGGGAGGATTACCTGAGATGAACAAAGCCACGACAGAGAGAGAGAAGGAAGGCTAACAGCCCAGGTGGAGTGAGTGGCAGGGCCCGGTGACGGAACCACCCTCCCTCACTCGAATGTCTGAGGCCCTGGCAGGGGTCCTCCAGAGTCCCACCTCCAGCAACGGGGGGATCGAGTGACTCGTGTGACAATAATGTAATTCTATCATGTATGTTTTAAACTGTTAGCTGTCTTACTGGCCCATGTAAGGGTAGAAAGGTGAAATACAAATTTTTCCAAACTTTGCTAATAATAAAAAAACATTAGCGCTCTTCTCTCCCCCCTCCCCTTTAGGAAACCATATTTATAGATGAGCAAAAATGGGGTTCATTATGGCCAAGTGCAAAGTGATGCACATTAGGGCCAAAAATCCTAACTATAAATACATGTTAATGGGGTCTGAACTGCCAGAGACTGACAAAGAGAGAGATCTTGGAGTCGTAGTAGATAACTCAAATAAAATGTCGAGACAGTGTGCAACTGCAATAAAAAAAGGCCAGCCCTATGCTGGGGATTATTAGGAAGGGAATTGAAAACAAATCAGCCAGTATCATAATGCCCCTGTATAAATTGATGGTGTGACCTCACTTGGAATACTCTGTGCAATTCTGGTCACCGCAACTCAGAAAGGATATTATAACATTTAAAAAGTGCAGAAAAGGGCAACTAGAATGATAAAAAGGTTGGAACTTTCTCTGTGAAGAAAATTTTAAAGTGCTTGAGGCTATTTAGCTTGGAGAAACGACAGCTGAGGGGTGACATGATCGAGGTTTACAAGATTATGCATGGGATAAAGCAGGTCAAGGAAAAAGTACTTTTCTCCCTTTCTCACAATACAAGAACTCATGGGCACTCAATGAAATTGCTGAGCAGTCGGGTTAGAACGGAAAAAGGGAAGTACTTCTTCACCCAAAGAGTGATTAACACATGGAATTCACTGCCACAGGAGGTGGCGGCGGCTACAAGCATGGACAGCTTCAAGTGGGAATTGGATAAACATATGGAGCAGAGGTCCATCAGTGGCTATTAGCCACAAGGTATAGATAGGAACTCTGGGGCAAGTGATGCTCTGTATTTTTGGCCACTGTGTGACAGAGTGTTGGAGTGGATGGGCCATTGGCCTGATCCAACATTGACTTCTCTTATGTTCTTATGTTCTTAAACTTTTTTTTCTTTTGGCAGGTAACAAAAGGTGAAACACTGACATAGATGTGCTGGAGGCTGGCAGGGAGCCAACTAGAAAAAATGATGCTGTCTACAGAGCTGATGATCAGACATCAAGTTTCTTCATTACTTAATATGGATGGGAGTTATGCTTGTTTCTATCCCTTGGGAAGCTGCATCCCACATTTGGAGTCTGTGACTTTGTGCTGGTGATTCCAGCTGAAACAGCTAAATTGTACAAGAGCATGTTTAATGTGGTTTTATACAAGCAGATTCATACAGTTCATGCCCCACACCTTTGCAAAGCCCTTTTGCTTTGCAGCAATAGAATCCATATAGAACCAAAATTTAGTTTCTGGGACCACAATGTGATTTTTTTAAATCTGAACAAATCAGGATGTGGAGACTGTGCATATTGGGTGGCTGTAGTGGCAGCTTCAGTATACATATTAAGCATCCTGCAGCTAGTTTTCATTGCTGGAAGATAGTGAATACTTTCCATTGTTGCAGTTGCTCAACTAAGTAAACATACAGTATGTATGGGGGTGGGGGAGACTGTCTTGTGCCAAGGGAGGGGTGGCTCTGTTTTCTAAGTATTTTGTATAATCTAATGTAACTTGGGATGCCTTTTTCATTTGTGTTTCCACAATAAAATCACCTCTGCTTAACATGTCTGGTCGGTTTGCTTCTGAACTTTGGGATGCATATTACTTTTTAAAGTTTTTGTGCCCCTCTTTTCTCCCCAGTGGGACCTAAATACTGCATAAGTAAACAGGCAGGACCCTCTCTGACAGTGTTATTGGACTCGCTGGCTGGCTCCTTTGAAGACACAGCCTGTGAGCTGAAGTGGCAAGAGTCCTTTGTGTCTTGTGCCTCTGGCTACGCCCAAGCTTTGTAGAATACTTGAAACAGGACAGTAGTGTTGCTGAACTGTTTGCCCCAAATAGGGAGGTCTAGAGTAAGTAGAAATGTTAATCCTTCAAGTTCTTAAGACCAAATAAGTTGGGGGGGGGGGTAGCAGCTCATCAAAGGCTCAATCTTGTAAAGGATATTCAAAACTGCTTCTGCTTTATTATTTATTACAAAATTTATACCCCACCTTTCAGCTCTCATCAGAGCCACCAAGGCACCTAACATTAAAACACACATAATAAAAACACATCTTAAAACCCATGAAAACCAAAAAAAACCCCAACACCATAATGTAGACAATTCAATCCAAATTAAAATATGTATATAATCAGGAGTCATTTCGTAGAAAAAGAGGTGCAGGAGCTCAGTAGCATAACTATCATTAGCATAACTTATTTGCATATGCCACACCCCATGACATCACCGGATGTGTGTCAGAAGGCAACACCCACCACTTAGGCTCCACTGGACTGTTTTGGATTGCTAGCTATTGGGGGGGGGGGTTCCCACACAGCTCTGCCCTCACAGAGGAGGGAGAGCTTGTACCCGAATAAAGCTGCCACTAGACTGTTTTGGATTGCTATCTTTGGGGGGGGGGGTTCCCACACAGATCTGCCCTCACAGAGGAGGGAGAGCTTGTACCCGAATAAAGCTGCCACTAGACTGTTTTGGATTGCTATCTATGGGGGGGCTCTGCAACTTACCTGGCTGCTTCTTGCTCCTCGTGGCCCGGGGCTGCTGGGAGCAGGGGGTGGGGCTTGTTGCATATGCCTGCCCCCTGGGCTCTTTACTGCCGGAGCTCCGCTCCTGTGCGCTCCTGCAGGAAATGACCCCTGTATATAATACAATAAAATATATAGAAAAACAGCAGGAAGGAGGAATTGCTGAGGGAACACCAAGTCAAAAAAAGGCTTCACCTGCTGATAGAAGATGGCAACGGAAGGAGATAGGTGAATCTTTCTGGGAAGAGAGTTTCAGTGTCATGACTAAGGTTATTACTAGTCATTAGATTAACTGTTTTCATTTAAAGAAAATTAATATAATATTTCTGCTACCTTGAGAATACTAGAAAATAGTTTCTGCTTAGCTAGTTTTACTAATAAATGTACAGCGGGAAAGAAGGGCAGGTGGTTCAGGCTTTTGCATAAGATGCACAAAATTCATTCTCCAGTTCTGCTTTGCGGCAGCTTTTGTTGGTTTTCCTAAGTGTAAAGACTGAATTTTAGGCTGCATCAGTGGAAAAGGCCCTTAAAATAGCTAGAGGAGGAGAATGGTAGAATTTTAGTGAAACCTTACTAACAGTGGAGCTCAACTGAAGCATTGTTGGTTTGCTACCCAAAAAGAGTGAAATGTTTTGATGTGATCGTTGTGAAAAAGCAGAGACTGGTGTGAACAGTTCGTCTCTAATATTTCACGTTATTTACCATGGCACTGTGTTAATGCCCATCTAACTAACTGGATTGTATCAGGACCTGGATCTCCCAGATAGCCCTTTATTGTAGTTGGCTGTTTTTTATTTTCAATTTTTACAAATGGACTGTATACTCAACCGAACAGCACCCTATCTGACTTTAGTTCCCAAATGCTAGTGAAAAACAAAATAGTGAATAGCAGTGAAGAGGAAGAGAGAAAGGGGGATGGGTCAATCCAGAGCAGACAGAAATATATGACTTGATATAGAAATAAACTTTTACCCACTGGACACTGCTGCCGGGGAAATGTAAGGCTTGCAGGAAAACTGGTAGCCAGGCCTGAGGCCTGTGTGCCTGAAGGAAAGGCTGTCTTGTGAAACAAACAGTAGCCAATTGAAAGTTCTGTATGGTAAATGAAGCTGTGTAATAATGCATAGTGGGAGGGGCATTCTGGAATGTTTTGGAGAGTATATAAGCAACTGTAACTGTCAGAACTCTGAACTGCTGGCATTTCATGCTAGAGTTCCCTTTGTTCGAATAAAATTTGCTCCTATTTTGTTCGAATGAAGTTTGCTCATATTGTATTTGAGGCCTCACCTGGTGTGGTTTATTGGATTTGGCTCACCAGAGTAAATGAACCTAAAATTTGTTAACAAAACTCAGGTCTACAGAGGAGGCTGAAGTTGGTTCCTTATTCGCACTTCCGTATTCCTTATTTGTTACTTATTCGTGTAGTCATTCAGAAACACTAAGGAGAGTGAGTTGGAAAGCTCTGAACCCCAAAATAAGGTCTGGACCACCACATATCATATACCCCCACATTCACAGGACTCTCCCCTTCGAGGGGACATATGCTGTATCCTGGTCCAAAGCACGGTTCTGGTGCCAGCTGCTTCAAAGTGCAGTGCCCCTAGGACAATCACACAAGCAGACACTGGGGCCAGGCTGCACCCCAAAATAATCTTTGGACCACCCCAAATGACACATTGCCACGCTCTGGAGACTGTGCCCTGCAAGGTGACATAAAGTGATGCCCGGTCCAAATACCGGTTCTGATGCCACCAGCTTCTATTTGCAGGACTTCCCCGAGGCCTGTATTTCAAAGGAGATTTGAATTAGGAAATGCCCCCTGCACCCAAAATAAGGTTTGGACCCCCACATGTCATACACCCCCATCTTCAGCGGTACCTCCCCTTCGAGGGGACACATTCTGTGTGCTGGTCCAAAGCACGGTTCCGGTGCCAGTTGCTCCAAAGTGCAGTGCCCCCAGGACAAACACACAGGCAGAGACTGGGGCCAGACTCCCCCCCCCCAATATTTTGACCACCCCAAATGACACATCCCCACGCTCTGGGGACTGTGCCCTGCTAGGTGACATACAGTGCTGCCCGGTCCAAACACCGGTTCTGATGCCACGAGCTTCTGTTCGCAGGGCTTCCCCGAGGCCTGTATTTCATCCTCCAAAGGAACCATTTTCTCAACTTAGAGGGATAAATCTCAGTCATCTGGAGTTCAGTTGTAATTTTGGAGATGTCCACGTCCCACCTTGAGGCTGGCAACCCAAGGCCTGGCAACAATCTCTGGGTGATTTGATACCATATTTGGTGGGTGGAGCCTGGGGAGGATGGGGTTTGAGGAGGGGAGGCACCTCAGAAGAGTATAATGCCATAGATTCCACCCTCCAAAGCAGCCATTTCCTCCATGAGAACTAGGGTTACCAGCCTCCAGGTGGGGGCTGGAGATCACGCACAGTTACAACTGCTCTCCAGATGACAGAGATCAATTCCCCTGGAGAAAATGGCTGCTTTAGAGGGTAGACTGTATGGCATTACACCCTGCTGAAGTCACTTCCCTCCCCAAACCTTGCCTCCCAAGTCTCCACCCCCAAATTTCCAGGAATTTCCCAACCTGGAGCTGGCAACCCTAAGGAAAAGGGGAGAGGCTATGGGGGCTTTCCGGAAAGGGGAAGAGGAAATAGTGGGGGAGGGTGAAATGAGATGCCTCCCGCAAGTCCTTGCGGGTTCCCAGTTGTATATATCTAATAGCCAAGTTGCCCCCTCCGTGCGGATACTTATTCCCACAGATCTGGGGCATGCAGGGGGCAAGTAGATCTTTCAGCTCACTTGAAGCACGCTCCTGGTGTGCAGAAAAATCATACATGTTTAAAAAAGTATACAGGGGATATTTAAATCCCCCCAAAAGTCAAACAGCATTCTCTACTGACAGATCCCCAGTAGAACACTCAGGACCCCAAGGGAAGTGGCGTGGCTGCACACGCCCCTGCAAAGAATGCTGGCGGCGAAAACCACCCGGCAGCAGAAACCGCCACCTCAGAAACCGTCTCTGCGGGTGGACTCGACTCAGGCAGAGTCTTCCAAGGTTTATCGTGTTCCTGTGGAGAAAGAGGAGCTTTCTCTCTCCCCCCCCTTCACCGTACTCAATACCACAGAAACCTGATGTCTCAAGAGTTGGGGGGGGGGAGCAGAAGCAGGGAAAGGAAGAAATGCAGAACACAGACCTGAGGAGGGGGAGAGAATCTGGGTTGGAGGGAGGACAGGAGGGGCTGGCTCCTGCAATTTCCCCCTCCTCATTTCCCCCTCCCCCACTATTTCCTCTTCCCCTTTCCTGAAAGCCCCCATAGCCTCTCCCCTTTTCCTTAGGGTTGCCAGAGTGCCCACAGGCTCTGAGACCCCATCTTCGGTCCAGCTGCACTCCAGGAAGGCAGAGCAAGAGCGTCCCCCAGTCCTGTGCCGGCTGCCTGCCTGGCCCGCCTGACAAGAAGTTGCCTGATAAAGTTACCGTTTGCTCTGTCTCCCTCTCCTGTTTCCCTGCCTCACACACTCAGCCAGCTTGCCTACTCTGCCTGCTTTGCTTTGAAGCTGTTCAAATTGTGCCCTCCCACGCCTTGCAGAAGAAGCAGGGAGGTGGAGAAACCTGGGCAGTCACTATAGGAACTTCCAAGTGCTAGCCCTACGGTGGGGTTTTTTTTTTTTTGCTGTGAGCAGCCTTTTCTGACTGTGGGGGTGACTTCTGCTGCTACTGCAGCAACTTCATCCCCAGCTGCAGCAACACTGCTGCTCTCCAGAATATCTGAAGCAGCAGGCGTGAGCCAGGAAGAGAAAGTGTGCGTGCGTGCACCTGGAGATCTCGAGACAACCCCACTGAAGTCCCTCCCCTCCCCAAATCCCACCCCCAAGATCTCCAGTATTTCCCAACCTGGAGCTGGCAACCCTAGCTTGGGAGCAGAGAGAGAAAGAAGGGGGTATTGGGTTGGGGAGAGAAAGAAAGAGAAAGACGGGGAGGGGGGAAGAAGCAAAGGTGGGAGAGTACCCCC